TATGTTTAGAAAGATTTTGAATTCCAAGTGTCTTTAGTTCTCATTGCTTACCTTCTTTTGTCACGAGAATAAACCTTTTGAATCAAGCAGTGAAGATACTAACTTGACTAAATGAGTTGCTGTGTGTTGATGTGCTCTGGGGCATTGGTGATTCAACATGCATGTCTTCTGATATAGTTGAAACATCTTTGATCATATTTGATCTCTGCTAAAAGTTATGTGATTTATGTTGAACAGGTCTATCAAAATTCCATTGGAGCAGCATGTGTCCAGGACTGGCCTAGGGAAAGAATGCTTGTGCAAGTTTTGGATGATTCTGATGATCATGAAGTCCAACAGCTGATAAAAGCAGAAGTTCAAAAGTGGCAACAAAGGGGTGTACGCATCTTATACAGGCACCGGCTTATCCGGACAGGTTATAAAGCTGGAAATCTAAAATCTGCAATGAATTGTGACTATGTCCAAGATTACGAGTTTGTTGCAATCTTTGATGCTGATTTTCAACCAACACCAGATTTTCTGAAGAAAACTATTCCATATTTCAAGGTACTCTCTTTTATATTTATGTACTTCCTACTGTTTAGGCTTGAGTAGATAAACTTTGGTTGAGCTGCTGGTATTTTCCTTCATTAATGCACTTTTACTCTAGTCTTTCAAAGTTACGGGTTAACCTGGTTATCAGTGGCCTATTAGCCTATGCTGTCAGAAATTTTAGATTAATGAGTAAATTGGTGAACCTTTGCATATTGTGCTGTACTGGTTTGTTTGAAAGATATTACGCTATTTGCACTTCATCTAAATGCTTTCTTTCTTTTCCACTTTGTATTTAAGGGAAATGATGACCTCGCGTTAGTCCAAACAAGGTGGGCTTTCGTGAACAAGGATGAAAATTTGCTGACACGATTGCAATACATAAATCTGGCCTTTCACTTCGAGGTTGAGCAGCAAGTAAATGGAGTGTTCATCAACTTCTTTGGCTTTAATGGAACAGCTGGTGTTTGGAGAATCAAGGCTCTAGAGGATTGTGGTGGCTGGTCTGAAAGGACAACTGTTGAAGACATGGATGTTGCTGTCCGTGCTCATCTTTGTGGATGGAAATTCATCTTTCTCAATGATGTAGAGGTTGGCACAAGCTGAAGTACCAATAATTTGAAATGTTGATGAAATAATGAATTATGTTTGTTCTAAATTGAAATATTTTTGCAGTGCCTTTGTGAGCTGCCTGAGTCTTATGAAGCGTACAAGAAACAACAACATCGCTGGCATTCTGGTCCTATGCAATTATTTCGTATGTGCTTCATGGAAGTAATTCGATCTAAGGTATGGAACTTGTTTTCTCAATATGTTTTGAAATTTACATCTGTTTTTTCTACTTTTCTTGCCTTTGTAATCTTGCTGCTTATTATTTAAGGTTGTGTTGGTTGTTAATTGGGCTAGGTTAATATGCGTTGGGTTGGGGAATTCAGAGAAGTGTTATGACCAGGTTTTAGTGATTGTGCAGGAGAATGAACTCTCATATGTGTTTAGTCATGTTATATTCAAAAAAGCAAAAGGAACCCATACTTGTTGATGTAATTCCTAATTCACTTCTCATTTAAGGGTTGGACTGTAGAGAATACCGTTGGGGTGGGGGTGGGGTGGAGGTAATCATCACAATAGCCTAGAATTTTTGAATTACTCAAAATTTTCTTACAGAGACTTTATTATAGAAATATAACCGAAGCTATGAATTGAGTTTATGTTGGTATAAGAAATCTTTTGAGCTGTAACATCTTTTCACAAAGAAAGGAAAATCATATTGAAACTCATCTTGTAGATAAAAAAAGTATGGCATTCATCCACTATGATGACTACTAAAAGTACTAATTACTTGGGCACATGCCTGTTGCTCTAGTGAGTCATCATACCGAACTTGTTTTAGATTCTAGAAATTATACATATTAGCTATTTGGCTTCAAGACCATATTTCTGCTGTTGTACAGATCCCCCCCAAGTATAATCTGAATCTACAATTTAGTCGGGGGCTTGACTTCTTGAGTAAGCCACATCTCTTATGGGCTTCTGTTTCTGAGTTGCTAATCAATTTGTAAGCTTTGTATAGTGAAAACCATCAATTTTGGATTTTCTTTAGGGAAGAAATATTTATAAGTTTTTGTTGGTTTTAGCCTATATCTTTTTCTTAGTGATCCCATGCACTAGCAGTTGCAAGTGGCCATTACATGCGCTCCCAGTTCCCTGCTGACCGTTATATTTAATGTTGAAATTTATTTAAATTGATTTTTTTTTTTTTTTTTTTTTTTTTTTTTTTTTTTTTTTGAAAGAACTGATTTTTTATTTGTTGGGGTAAGTTAGTAATATAAAATGTACTTTAATTTGTTTAAGTTACAAAATTGACCCTTTTGTTGTGTTGCTAATACACTTTTTTCTTTTCTGTTGTTCTCTTTACGTTTCAGGTGAGTTGGACAAAGAAGTTCAACCTTATATTTCTCTTCTTTTTGCTTCGAAAGCTCATTCTACCCTTCTATTCCTTCACTCTCTTCTGCATCATTCTTCCGTTGACAATGTTTCTCCCAGAAGCTCATTTACCAGCTTGGGTAGTCTGTTATGTCCCTGGTTTCATGTCTCTGCTAAATATTCTTCCAGCTCCACAGTCATTCCCGTTTATAGTCCCCTATTTACTATTTGAGAACACTATGTCAGTTACCAAGTTCAATGCCATGATTACTGGATTATTTCGATTTCAAGGTTCCTATGAGTGGGTAGTAACCAAGAAATCAGGAAGATCATCTGAAGCTGATCTACTCGGTTTATCTAAAAAGGAATCTGAAGTTTCGGTGAACACATCCATGTTACCAAGGTCCGCATCAGACTCGGGCCTTGAAGAGTTGAACAAGTTGAACATGAGCAAGAAAAATGGGAAAAGCAAAAGAAATCGTTTGTACAGGAAAGAACTTACCCTAGCATTCATTTTGTTGACTGCCTCAGTTAGAAGCTTGTTATCAGCACAAGGAATTCACTTTTATTTCCTTTTATTCCAAGGAATAACTTTCCTGATTGTCGGTCTCGATTTGATCGGAGAGCAGGTGAGTTGAAGCCTTCTGTTACAATGCCTGGGCAGTAACAACCTGTTAAGGAATTCTTAGCCAAAGAATCTGGTCCATGCAAAAACAATGCCAAGATCTCCTTAACCAGGAGTGCGAATAATTAATGCTTCTGTGACCGCAAGTAATTTGGCAAACAGTTCAGCTATTTATTCAATTGGCATTGCATTACAGCCTATATCTGTATCTATTCATTCGTGGAGACATTCATATTTACAGTTGCCAGATTACACAAATTTTAGTATCACATAGACTGGGTCTTCGGCGCAGACCCTTGTAGTGGGGGAAGCTCGGTGTGCTTTGGATTGTTTGTGGTGAACTTATACTTTTACTGTGAATTACCGGTGTCAAAAAAAGGTGACTCCTGGTGAATATGTTGATTTGTCAAACCATTCTTTTATACTAGTCATATATTATTGTCCTAGATTAGTTATAATTTGCTCTTTATGTCTGTTTTGGCTGTCAGGACCTGTTGTATTCTTGCTCTTTAGATACAAAATAGGAAGCGCGGAAAAAAATATTTATCAATAGCATTTTTGTTGTATTCTACCTCATAGAAGGTGTATTACTAAACTAATCTCTTGTATCTTATCTCGTCTCGAGACATTATAGGATTTTATTGTACGAAACAAGACATAATATGAGTGTACTCCCCAATTGAGGTTGAGGGTTTAATTTTAATTTTAATTTTAATTTTAATTTCGGATGTTTGTTTTAATTTATACAAGTATTTAGCTGCGTATTGTGGTGTTCGTTTTCTTTGTTTTTTTAGTTCTCTTTGATTCAATCTGAAATTTTAATGAAAGTAAACTACCATATCTTTAGGCTAAATGCCACGTTAATGTTTTCTGCGTTTGAAGAACAAAATATTACAAATTGGTGTACATTGAGAGCCTGTCTATATAGCCGGGGTACTGTATACCCAAGGTATACGATACATCCGAATGTATATAACGAATTTAAGTGTACAATAAAATCCCAAAAATATATCCTTGGGTGGATTAATTAGTCTTAATTTTGTTAGCTTATTGTGCTTATATGTTATGGATTCAAGTAATTAAAAAAAAAACGATATTTAACATTAAAAAAAATAAATAAATAAGTTTGTTCGATTTACTATTGATCTAAACCCTGTCAATTTGATCCAATTCAAAAATCTGTTTGTTTCTAAAAAAATTCTTTCCTATCCAATCTAATTTTTTTAAAAAAAAAAAAATCCTACTTGATAATTTGATTTAGATCAAATAAGATTTCAGTTTTTTTAACGATTAACAGACTCCTACTTCCAACATTTACTGTATAACATTTGCTTCTTTCGCCATTATTAGCAATTTTCGTCTGGCCTGCTAAGAGGGACTTTCTTAAATATTTTTACTAACTCATGACTTGTCCCGGGTGTAAATAAGCCCACTGAAAAAAATGTACACTATGCACCATATACAACACCGTGAATACTGGTGCACACTGCACAGTAAGTAAGCAAATCGCAGCACCTGCTGTTGCACATTTTACCAGAAATCCTCTCAAATCTAATTTACAGGTTTACAAGTGCACAGTAAGCAAATCGCAGCACCTGCTGTTGTACATTTTACCAGAAATCCTCTCAAATCTAATTTACAGGTTTACAAATTAGCTTCTTGGGTTACTTCATACGTTTATAAAAGTAATATGGTTTAATATTAGGTTTATTTTTTATCCCCACCTGCTGATTAGATTTTAATCGTGCACATATCCTAAAAATACCTAAACAAACCATGGACTGGATTGTTTTTTCTCCAGAAGCATTGTAATAACCCAGAGATTCAGAAGGTTACCTTAAACTAACTACCAACTAGTCTGCTACTTTCATAGCATCAATAAACTTGCACGAAGATAGAAAGCATACAGAACATCTACAAGTACATGTAATGTTCTAGTTTTTCTTTTTCCATTGTTAAGCAAGTTCTTTTCCACACATTAAAGCATAAAAGAGGCCAAATGAATCAGTTCTTACGAGGCAAATGCCCCCAAAATTATCTCAATTCAAAAGTTCTATCGTGTTTTACAACTAAAAAACAAAAAAAGTATTTGATAAACCACAAGTCCCTCAAATGTTATTTGAATAATCGCCACATTAGATGTGCTCCTTATGCCTTGCAGTTTCCTCCTATCATCAATCCAGCCTCTTTTAAGCACCTTCCTGCAGTTATTTAATAAATTAGGACTAATTCGCTAGAAAACTTAACCGAGTTACAAAGAAAAGTCATTTGGCTTCAAAATAACTTACATTGGAATCAAACAAACTTTGAGAACATTTTTCCATAAAGTTGGGCATCCTTCTTGTTGTATTCTCTAATCTTTTCCTTCAACTTCTTGTATTCAAGTTTCACCTCCCTGCATTGGTACAAAAGCAAAAAAATAGATTGGTATATTGCTGTAAGGCAAAAGCAACAGCCAAAAACAAATCCAGCTCACTCGTCATGAGCACTGACCATAAGTTGCAGAACTACATTCAATACATTCCCTAAAATATAGGACCACCCAAGAGTATTGACCATGATAATACAAAATGGCAATACTGGAACTTACTAATGTAGTTAAGAGTAATCAATCGGAGTAAATACATGCATTAGGCCTTATTATGATCAAAACAGAACAGCCACCAAAAGAAAAATTAGCAAATTTTATGTACTTCCTTCAATAAAGGGACTAGTATAATTTAGATAGCTCATTGACTGGCCACTCATAACATCTATGCATCTGTTTTTCATTAGTTATACTTATATATACTTTTCATGAATAAAAATCATCACCCAAACTTGATATTTCAATATACCTGTTGTCAGGGTCAATTTCCAGCGCCTTCTTAACATCAAACTCAGCTAACTCAAGATCTGCTAATTGTATATATGCCTGTGCTCTTCTGTAGAGCGCTTTGACATTCATGCTGTCTACATCCAACACCTACAGTTTACACACAAAGACAGTTGAAGGTAAAGAGCAAAACTCAAACTAGGTCAGAGTTAAACAATTGTATGGCAGGCATACCTTGGTGCAAAGTTTCTCTGCTTGCTTATAGTCTTTCAACTTCAGCTTACAGGCTGCATTGTTCAAATTGCAAGACACCTTCAAGACCTTGGTCAGCTTCTTCTCTTCATCACTGAAGGCATTGTCATACTCGATAAATTTGACAGCCTGGATAACACAAAACATACAATTTTAAGTTTCTTGCACACAAAAAACGAGATATATTATATAAGCGTTCGGTGTTCCTTGCTTAAGGGAGCTTACTTTTTCATATCTCTTTGATGCCCTAACATATTTGCCAGCCTTGAATAATGCATTTCCTTCTTCCTTCTTCTTGCCTGCTGCCTCAATTTTCTCTTCAGTATTCATGTCCCATGACTCCTTGTCCTGAAGTGATAGTTTCATATGGTTGGATAAATAGTTCAAAATAGTCGTGTTTACATTATAATTTGAGGATAATAGAGCCAACCAACCTTTTCAAATGAAACCAATTCTACTTCATAAAACACCGTAGAGTTGGGAGGAACCACAGCCAAGTCCTGCTTTGATTCCACGGAGCCAAAGGCATATTCTGGGGCAATTGTTAATGAAGCCACTTCTTCTTTCTTCATTGTCAATACTGCTTTATCAAGCCCCTCTATAACTTGTTCTGCTCAGACATCAATCAGTCAAGAGTCAACATCTATAGATGTAAAATGTAAAGAGCCAGAATATGAAAACTAAACAGCGAGATTTACCTTCATCTGTCTTAAATTCAAAAAGCTCATCTCCATCTTCATGACCCTTTTTAACAAAAACAGTGCCATCTTGTAGCTTTCCAAGTAGTTTCACTACAGAAATAATTTCAGGGTCAAATAATAGTATTCCAAGTAAGTACCTCCATTAGAAGAATAGAGTATCCCCAAACTTACATTTTACAACAGCTCCTTCATTAGGGCGGTCGTATCCTTCTCCTTCCTTCAGTATCTTTTTGACAACCTTCTTGTCATCAGTAACATTAGACACAGTCTTCCATGACACAAGCTCAAGGGCAATCTGAAGAGTGGAATTCGGAGGAACAGCAGCTTCATCACCAGAAGCTGGCTTGCCTTTCTCTCCAAATCCATCTGCAATAGAAGAAGACAATTAGAACAAAAAACAAATTTATTGAGAAATAACCTTCTCATAGAGAAAAGGCTTACATTGCGGCATTACTGTCAGAAGCACCTTCTCCCCTTTCTTCATAGTCTTCACAGCTTTTGACAATGCAGGACAGAAATGACCTGTTGGGACAATAAAACACCATCAATATCCACATATTGAGGAAAGTAGTTAATAATGTGGTACAAATACAGAAATAGACACACCTTCACTGACAGTGAACTCCACACCATCAGATTTCCCAACCAATGTTCCATCTTCAAGACGAGCTTCAAATTTCACTGAGTAAGTCGGAACAGAGAGCTGAATTAGTAATCTAAGAGGCAACTCCAACAAAAATAATAAAACATCAGCTAAAATGAGTAGCATACCAAACACCTCATCAGCATCCTTTGGATTTTCCCACTTCTCTCCTTGAGCCAGGACCTTCTTAAAGATACCCCCATCCTTGCATATATCCTTCACACTAACCCATGACAACAACTCCACGTCAAATTGCAGGGTAGCGTTTGGCGGGATGGTAGGAGGCGAACCACTTTCACCATAAGCCAGCGCAGGAGGAATGGTCCAAAGAGCATTTTCACCCTTCTTCATAGTTGAAATGCCCACATCCCATCCTTTAATGACTTGACCTGTCGCAATCATATACATTAATGTCAAAAAAGAGCCTACTTACAAGAAAACTGCCAACTTTAGAGGGTATACTATTGACAGCAATTCTTATACACAGCTTTATGCCCTGTTCATTTAGAGTAGAAGATGTATATCCATGGAAAACAATTATAAAGGATTAAGCACAATCATAAAAATAGTTTTCCTTTGCTTGTTTCCTTGCGAGATAAATGGCAGTAGAAGGGAGAAGACGGATGCAAGGTGATGAAAGGGATGTTAAGAGTGAGAAGGAATAAACAGCATTTCTTTCTTTCAAAAGTAATACGATAACTATTTTAAGCATTTACAAACCAAACAAAAAAAATTTAAAAATCATATTTTCAATACGTTTTCCGCCAAAAACATACAAAGCATTAAGCGTTCAATCTTCTCAGTTTATAAAACTAAATTATCTTAAACTTATCTAAAATAATTCGAACGCATCCTCTATGAATAAATCCAATTGCACTAACCATGCGCAGGTAAATTAAACGAAGTACAAATTTATGGTATAGTTTCTTTTATATGTTCTTCCTTCTACTACTAGGAAGTTAACAACCAGTCATAGATTGGGCACTTAAAGCAAAAATGTAATGTATCTCCATTCTCCAATGTTAGTCAGCTATAAACTTAACCACAAACAAGGCATTACTACTACTAACACAACAAAATTTCAAGAAAATTCAATTTCTGCTACAATTACAAAACTCAAATAACCATAGCATTGTCAATACACATAACATGATAACAACATACAATTCCATTAAAACTAACAACATAAATTCAAGAATTTCATAATACAGTGATAAATGAACATTGCAAAACAAGATTATCATTTCATAAATCTCTACTTGATGATTTTAAACACTACATTCAATTCAGATTTCCAGATTTTCAAGCTAATAACATCAATTCAATTTTCACATCAATAATCATAAAAAGATAAAATCAAACCTTGGCCAAGAGTGAACTTGAAAGGAGTCCCTCGGTCACGACTCGAATCGAATTTCGTTCCATCCAACAATGTTCCAGTATAATGCACTGCAATTTATCAAAAATCAATCAAGAAATCTGGAAAAAAAAAAAACAGAAAAATCAAAAACATCAAATCAATGGAAAAATCGAAGAAAATTGAGAATCAAAAGTACCTTCGACTTCATCGCCAGGATCAGGAGTATCCCAGCCTTCACCTTCCTTAAGAAGCTTCTTCTTCAAACCTTCATTTCCGATCTTAATTTCTTCGCCAACTTTCAAATTGGGAGATTCATCTTCGAAGTCCATTGGAGCGCCGTCCATCATCTCTTCCGTTTCAGGCATTTCGAAATCATCCATTGTTGCAGAGGAGAGAGAAAGATTGATTTAGAGCAGAAGAATGTAGAGAAAGAAAATCTGGAGGTTTCAAAAATGGTGGATTCTAGAGATAGGTGAGAGAAGAAGGAGGAGGAAGGGTTTATAAGTGAGAGTAGCTATTGAGGTTCTTCTAGATAGTTCTAAATCACAAGAGAAACGGAAAAAGCGGAAATTAAAAAATGTGAAAATGAGGGCAAAAAATGAGAGAAAGAGGTTGAGTGGTTTTCGACTTTCGAAGGATGGGCTAGGGAGTCCAAGATTGTTCTAGATAGGTTGAACATTTCTTGGAGGTGAGTTTTACCTACCATGACTCAAATTTAAAAATATTTGCCTCAGATTTTGACTCGTTGTAGACATAATAATAGGATGACTCAAGTTTAATAAAAGACTCGACTCGACTTTATCGAATCTGAATCGAACACCCGAATTAACACCTCTAAAGTTCTGTTTTGAGTTACTGAACTGAGCCAAACTGAATTAAACGGTTTATGAGAGAAGGAAATTAGAAACTGAACTAGACTGAACTGATTATAACTAAACTGAAATTAAGTACATTGACATATGTGCCAGTCAAAATATTGCATTATAAAGAAACGACGTCTCCTCCAATGAATCAGTCATTCTAAACTAGCTCAACGTGCTCACAAGTCATGCCTTTTCGTTGGGGGTGGTTCTAAACTTCCAATATGATGCCAAATGGTTTGGGGATATGGGCAATCAATTTGTTAGTCTAAATGTCTAATTGCTTTAACCCTCTATCATAAATTCAATTTATCTTTATCTTGCAATCTTCGCAAGGTATAATGATTGTTTGCCTTACTCTTAAGTATTCCCAATTGATTTTAGGACGACGAAACATGTTGAATTTGTAATTTTGTGGTTGGTTTACTCCATCATGAACTTATGCTTAGTCCAATGAAAATTTCGGAATACATAGTAGAATTCAATATTTTGATATCAGTTTCCAATACAATAATGATATTGAAATGGGTAATTGTGTGTCCATTTAGGGCATTTGCCCAACCAATGCACATCCCTATCTCAAAGGGTATACTCACCCAAAGGACCCTTTACTCCTTTAACTTGAATATATAGCTAAGCAAAATAGATGGAAGACAATTATTTTCCCATTTCTAATACGAAGTACTCAGTAAAAATGAAATTTGTATGATCTCTCAATTCAACAAGGTTTAACAAGATGAACTTCCTGCTCAAATGATAAGAAAAGGACGTCAACAAAAAGCTACAAACTATTCTGCGCAACTCAATACCGTTATGTCTACTTTGCGCACAAAATCTAAGCTACTGCTCTTCCCAGTCTATAGTTCCTCATCATCGAAGTCTTCAATATCATCAATGTCTTCAGCTCCATTAGATGGTGCCCCATTCACGGAAACAAGCTCAGTGTCGAAGATAAGAGTTGCTCCACCTGCAAACATAAAAAGAACATCAAAGAATAATTAAGAATCTTAAAAGAAAGGATATTTACGAGTAATATTTGGAAGTAATTATCCAATACAACAGCTAATGTAAAAACTGAGGATTTTACATAGACAAAAGAACTTTTTTAACATTCATAATGTAACCTAATTCTAAAGAGTACATAATCAGATGTAATATAATGAATTAAGTTGCAGAATTAAAGCAGTATTTATTGGTCATCTGATGGAACTACAAGGAAGCTAGAGAAAAAGTAGAAAACAAAAGTTTCGCCATGATTGAATAAATCAAATAAGTGTACCTGGAATAGTTGGGGGAGATCCTTGCTCCCCATAACCGAGCTTTGCAGGTATTTTCAATTTCCTTTTCTCGCCCACACACATCCCCAATAGTCCCTGGTCCCAACCTGCATTAACATAATTGTTATTACCAGCTTAATCTTTGGTTCATAAAGAGTCGATATAAAGGACGATGATTGAGTCCATATTTGATCCCAAATCTTAGGTCACCTTCAAAGAGTAAGAATTTACATCTTAGTTTGACTGAAATCAAAATAAATAGCAACAAGTTTTACATCTTACTTAAGATGTCCTCGACAAACCCAACTAGTATCTTACTTTACATGTCTTGAAATCAACAAATTTTTAGCAACAAGTTTTACATCTTAAACCCAACTAATCATGAAACATAATAGTTAAAATTTGAAAAGATATTAATGAAATACATATTTGTTCCAACGTTCGAGTGAATACAATAATTGAAGTTTAGCAACATTAACGACAAATACATAGCACATGCAAAGAGAAACAGGCAACAGGTTGACAAAAATAAGGTGATAATATTTGAGTTACGTAGTAAAAATTTCTACTGCCTCCTATTCTACAAGCTACAGTGACTGAGCTATTTTACTTCTTATGAATGAGATGATTAGGTGAATAAGCATTCATTGACCAAGAAGAAACAATAGTATGGAGACATAATATACGATGGACAACCAACATGAAACGACAGGAGTATCATGGTGCGTGATACCATAAGGAATTTAATACTTACCCATCCCTTTTTTAAAAAATTGGTAGTGTGCAGACATGTGGATCATTTCACAGAGAATAAAGAAACAATGAGGTACAAAATGTTTTGATTTGATGATATTAGCTTCTAGTAGCATCATACCGATAAGTGCAACTATGCAAGGTTGTTAAAAGCACACTTCCTTTCAAGTTTTACCTTGAATTCCTCATTTCAAATAAAGGTTACTTGGACACATGGATGTTTCAATTTAGGTCACATGAATACTTTTGAAAATTGGAAGTAAGTTAAACATCTAAACAATCACCCAAGTTAATGCCTTGATGGTGTATTGACTGTATCGATTACATACAAAGATTATCAACAATTGTACATATGCTCAAACCCAAACAAGTAAGAAGTGAATCTTTCATAGAAGATGTCAGGGATATGTACAAAAACTCAGGCTATGAAGGGATATGAACAAAAACTCAGGCTATGTAAATTGTAGAGGGGAAGGCAGGTAGGTGAGCTGGAGCAACATCTTACATATAAACATAATTTAAAACTGTAAAATGGTTCTATCAGTAAGAATCATCACATTTTTTTTGGAATACTACAAATCTAAAATCATGTTTGTTGTACTATACAGTTGGAAACAAAACTGACATAAAATTAGCAAGTTTCAGGGTACCTTTGATCACTTGGCCACTACCAAGTTGAAACTCAATAGGGTCACCCCTTTCAAAGCTGGAATCGAAAACTGTCCCATCTGTTAGTTGTCCCTGCCAAATGAGGTAACAAATAATAGATAGTGTCAGTACACCATTCTTGAAGTTGTTTGTAGCTATCTCTATAAAGATTGTGGTAGTAATCTTCACAAGCTACATTGAGCATTTGTGCAGCAAAGTTGATGAACTAATCAAAACTTTACAAATGAAAAATAAGCAAGAAGAAGACTAACCCGATAGTGGACCTTGACTTTATCACCTTTGTGAGCCTTGGTCTCACAAGATGCTGGCTTATACTGTAATAATCAAAGAAGACGGTAAGTTCCTACCATATATACAAAATAACTACTTGTATATAAGAGTGCATACGCAAGAATAGGAGTATTAGACCATATGGGGCACCTGAACACCAAGGGATGGTGTTTCCAATGCATATGTTGTTCGAGCCTAGAGCTAAATAAATGACAACTAATTCAAACAAAACGAAACACATATGTACTACGTAGTAAAATCCAGAATCTCAAAATATAATTGCTCAAAACATCATCCGAAAACAAAAGTAACAGATTAGTAAACCAACAAAGCACATTGAACATACTTACCAGTCATACAACTACAGTAAAATTGAATTTTTTCACTGAAAACCTTGTGATAAAAACCTTATTGAAGAAAATGGTGCTAAAATTTAATTAAGCATAGGATATTAATTTTAATCCATAAATGCAGGAATAAATTGGCTAATGCTCTTCTCTTCTCAACTCTGAAATAAATTATTCAGCCACTATCAATTTTAATTATTAAATTCAATAAAAATCAGTCATATAGTTAAAATCAATATAAATCAGTTCATCTTAACAATAATCAATACATATCATTTCATTTTATTTCAATCAATTCAAAAGAAGTAACGAAATCAGCATCATATTCCCAATAAAAATAGCAAACCCATCAACAAAATAATTACATAGCTTCAATTAAAGATCAGAAAATACAAAGTTGAATGCATCATATCAGAAATAAGAAAGAAAGGTTATACCTTGACACCGATCTGTAATTCTTTGACATCATCTGACTTTTTAGCATAAGCTGTACCTGTACATTAATGGGTTTATTTAGAATGTCAGATCCAAAATATGGAAGTTAGAATTAGAGAAGAAAACAGGGGAAGAACGAAAAGAGTTACCTAATGCGATCAGCGCAAGAAAAAGCAAGATCCCAAATGCTCTCGCCATTGTTTCTTGATTTACTGCAACTCTTTTGCACCTCACTTCCTTTATCGATTTATACCCGTTTGTCAATGTGTCAAGATGTGAATTTTAAAAGGTTATATGGGTCAATGACCTATTGGTTCAAGTTTAGGTTGGGTTAATAATTTATTGGTTAACCTCAAATATGAGGTTGAACTAATCTCGAGTTTATTCATACGATATATGGAAAATATGTAGTCATAAATCATAATTAATTTTCTGTTGGTTGCTTTTGTTCAAGTCATAGTTAGTTTTGTCAAAACTGTTTTTCATGTTTTTTTTTTTTTTTTTTTAAGGAAAATAAACCCTAATCAGACCTCAATCCTTACGATTTTGTTTTTTATTTGGTATTTACAGGTTAGAAGTGAAGGGGAAAAGTAAGGGATCTTTAGCCTTAGGTACCGCAATCGAGAGGATTTGATTTTGTGACCTTAATTTTACAAAGTGAATTTCTCACCAACTACACCAAGCCTTATTTGGTATACCTTTCAAATTTTGTCAATTACTAGTACTTCTTATCGTATAGAGTCTATAGACAATAATAATATCAATATAAGAAGTTTCAACAATAGAACAAATAACCCATATATATATATATATATATATATATATATATATATATATATATATATATATATATATATATATATATATATATATATATATATATATATAGCAACAAGTTAACAACAATGTTGTGATAACATTGGCTTTACAAGTTTTTTTCTTTTATATAACTCATATGTTGAAAATAGTTATGGTGAATGAAGTTCATATTATTTATATTGGTTGCTAGAGGAATAATTAGATTTATCGATTTGCATTTTTAGGGGTTTACTTAAAATCTTAGGGGAAAGTGGGGAAAGGACATAATCTGTAAAATATAACCAAATAGAAAATTAAATAATCAACGAATTGACAATCATTAATAAAAAAAAAAAACATCAAGTAAAAATCAGTTTAGTATTACCAAAAATAAAAAAATCTATTGAACACATGTGGTGTATTAATTCTATATTTTGATTAATCACAATTGTCATGATAAGAACATTGATCAAGATGTACACGACTAGATTAAGGTTTTTATTTCCCTCAATTAGCTATAGGGAAGATTTAATCTTCTTAAGCTCCTTATATTTTTTATTTTTTGTCCTGCCAAATTCCAAAGTTTTTGGATCAAACAGATCAAGTCAAAAATTAACATAATTTAAATTTGTTACGTGGGTTAAAATCTAGTTGTAGTAATATAATAATAATAATAATAAAAAAAAAAAGAATTCCTCTATATGCATGTAAAATTGCAAATTAATAAGCTACATTAAAACAAATACACATAGATATATAACATATTATTACCTTTCTTCTAACAACCATAAACCATTCATTATTAATTAATTACCCCTCAAATTAAGCTCCCATCACAAAAACTTCCCTTCACTCTCTCCTCTCTTTCTCTCTTCACCTCCTTCATTCATTCATCCTCTCCTCTGGAGAGAGAGAGCCATGGAAGAAGATGACGACAAACACCACACCACCACCACCACCATGGCGGTTATCGCTGTCGTCTTCTTCCTCTTTCTCTCCACCCTTTCCCTTGCCACCGCTGACGACGCAGCCATAATGAAGAAACTATCAACCACCTTAGACCTAACCCCTCCTAACTGGTCAAGCGACAACCCATGTAAATGGCAAGGCGTAAGTTGTGATTCCTCCAATCGAGTCATTTCCATTAGCCTCGCCTCTAGATCCATATCTGGTACCATACCCTCAGAAATCAACCAACTCTCTAGCCTACAATCTCTTTCTCTCCAAAACAACCACCTTACAGGCACCATCCCGCCCCTCGCTAACATGACACAGCTTCAAGAGGTTTTCCTCGATGGTAACTCATTCTCTATCCTACCTTCCAACTTCTTAGTCGGCCTACCAAACCTCCAGACAGTAAGCATCAATGACAACCCTTTACCTACCTGGAGCATCCCTAGGGGGCTATCTGAGTCGTCCTCTCTGCAAGAGTTTCGCGCCTCTAATACAAACTTGGTTGGATCCATTCCTGACATGTTTGCGGCCTTGCCCAGCTTAAAAGACCTAAGACTCTCCTACAACAACCTCACCGGTTCCTTGCCTGACTCCTTCGCGGGGTCAGGCATTCAATTTGTATGCATAAACAATCAAAAACAAGGACTCTCAGGAGTCCTTGATGTGCTAGGAAAGATGCCTAGTTTAGCACAACTATGGGTTCAACAAAATGCCTTCTTTGGTCCTATACCTGACCTTTCGAATTGCACCTCATTGTTCGATCTTCAACTGAGGGATAATCAATTAACCGGAGTTGTTCCACCTTCTTTGAGCAAACTACCTCATTTGATGAACGTTTCTATGCAAAATAACAAGCTTCAAGGTCCAATGCCGGCTTTCGAGAGAGGTGTTCAAGTCTCCCTTGGGTTCACTAACAGCTTTTGTAAGGATACACCAGGCCCTTGTGACCCTCAAGTCACTGCATTGCTTGATATTGTAGGCTCCTTGGGTTACCCTAGCGATTTATCCGATTCGTGGAAAGGAAATGATGCTTGTAAGAACTGGGCTCATATAACTTGTGACTCTAAAGGGAATGTTGTTGTTGTGAACTTTGCTAAGCAGAATTGGGGTGGGTTAATCTCGCTGTCGTTTGCTAATCTAACTTCACTAACCTCCATCATTTTGAATGGTAATGATCTTGTTGGAACAATACCAAGTGTTTTAACAAACCTTAAAATGTTGCAAAAGTTTGATGTTTCTAACAACAACTTAACAGGAAAAGTACCAAACTTTTCTCAAACAGTTGAGGTTATAACTAATGGGAATCCTTTCTTAGGGACTAATGTTGATACTACTAAATCATTAAAGTCACCTCCTGATATGACTAACTCTCCTTCTAACACAAATGGTAGTCCTTCACATCCGTTGAAATCGCGTCTTTCTTCCTATGAGGTCGCAGGGATTGTTGTTGCTGCTATGGTTTTGGTACTAGCTGCAGGAGTTCTCTTGTACCCGCGTTTTAAGAGGTGGTTGTTTATGAAGGTGTATGGCTCAAATAAGTACAATTTTTACAAGGGGAGGAAGAGTAAGGTGGAAGCTTTGAAGACGAGTCCAAATGGAAAATATTCTAAAGGAAGTCCAATTGATAAAAGTGGTATGCTAAGTAACGGGCAAATTTTATTTTATCATGGTGATAACATCCCAATTGAAGTCCTTCGTGAGGTGACCGATAATTTCAGTGATAGTAACATTCTAGGCCGAGGGGGGTTTGGGATAGTTTATAAAGGAGTTCTTCAAGATGGGACTGGGATCGCGGTTAAGAGGATGGAATCTAACCTCCAAGGGTCTAAAGGCAAGAGAGAGTTTGAGGCAGAGATCACGGTTCTAACTAAGGTGAGACATAGGCATTTGGTGGCACTCTTAGGATATTGTGTCAATGGGAATGAGAGGATTGTGGTTTATGAGTATATGCCTCAAGGAACATTGGGACAACATCTTTTCGAGTATGATCAAGCAGGGCGATCCCCTCTTACGTGGAAACAAAGACTTGTTATCGCTTTGGATGTTGCTAGAGGTGTTGAATACCTTCATAGCTTGGCTCAACAAAGCTTTATTCATAGGGATTTAAAACCATCGAATGTACTCCTTGGGGATAACATGAGAGCCAAGGTTTCGGACTTTGGATTGGTGAAATCTGCTTCCGATCAAGGAAAATACTCTTTGGAAACGCGTTTAGCAGGAACCTTTGGCTACCTTGCACCCGAATATGCAGGTAAGTAAGTTCATAAACCATATCCCCTCTCTCCCATTTGATTTGTTAGTTTGAGATGATCTATTTTCGGCTTAGGAAAATAAAAATGAAAAATATGAAGTTTTATTATGGATCTTTCTTACATTTGACCTTCAATTTTTATTTCCAATACAGTAAGTTTTTTTGTTTATCTGTTATGGCTTCCTATGTATTCTGCCATATAACTCTCCATTTTGTAAATATATCAATAGTTATGCATGATTCTCTTAACATAATTTGGCTTCTTTTTGTAATTTCCTTTTATAAATGACAACTTTTTACATAGTTTTTCAACTATATGTCTATGTTCCCTTTGTTTAATTATACAACATTTCAATGCAGCAACTGGAAGAGTAACAACCAAAGTCGATCTGTTTGCATTCGGAGTAGTCTTGATGGAGCTAATAACCGGTAGAAAAGCCTTGGATGAAAGCCTACCAGAAGAACAAGCACAATTATCAACCTGGTTCAGAAGAGTCCTCATTACCAAAGAAGGCATCAGAAAAGCCATAGACCCTAAACTCAAAACAGATGATGAAGAAATTTTCGAAAGCATTTGCAAGGTGGCTGAGCTATCAGGGCACTGCACGACTAGGGAGCCACAACAACGGCCTGACATGAGTCACACAGTTAATGTCCTATCTCCTCTGGTGGAGCAGTGGAGGCCTGCAGAGTCGGAAGGTGACAATGATTATGTTGGGATAAATATCGATATGAGTCTTCCTCAAGCTCTTCAGAGATGGCAAGCTGGCGAGACAACAACTATGAGTGGTTATAGTAGTGTAAATTATCATTCTAGCGCTCCTACTACACCACCAATGGGGGAAAGCTTTACCTACTTTGAAGGTCGATGATGAAATATTCTACTGATTTATGTGATGTTGTTATGTATATATTAGTGGTAAGCCCTTGGAATGGTAGAGGTTGGTGAAGAGTGATGTCCTCATCTCATTGATGAGCCACAATTGTCGAATTTCAGCCTCTCGAGGGCTTTTTTATGCTTCAGATGTAAATAGAGGTGTTATGAAAACATCGAATTGAAGATAATGAGTAATGTGTTTCAAAGAAAAACATTTGAGATTGGCTCTTTAGTCCGTCTAGCACGTCTTTAATATGGGTTTGGGTATCACTATTTGAGGTTATCGCTTAGGATAGTTAGGAATCATGTGGTGAGAAATTTCTCTATTATTCTTGGTTTACAAGGGGTCTTCTTCTATAAGTACTCAATTAAATTTAGTACTTTATATCATATCAGAGAAAGATAAAAAAAATAATAATAATAATAAAAAAAAAAAAAAAAAAGGCGATTGTTTTCTTAGGACATGTTTGTGATATGATTTGGAGTCTTCTTTATTCCAATAGGCATTTTATTTATGCAGGTGTCTGTGTTTAAGTTCAAGATTATTGTCACTAGTATTGGTTCTCTTTAATTTAAAAACTAGCAATTGCTAAGTAATACGAAGTACTCCCTCCGTCCCTTAATACAATGCCTCTTTCTCTTTATTATGTGAGGAATAAATGCTCAAAAGAGGCATTGTATTAAGGGACGGAGGGAGAACTACATATGTAACATATCAAGTACGGAGTATTGATTTTCAAAGGACTAACAAAACTGAGGCCAAAACAGATTAAATCTGGCTCAATAATTATGGGGTAAGCAAGATAAAGTTCGATTTAAATTATAGTAGATTTCTTGTTCCTCAAATAAGATTGGATTGTTTTCCTTTAATCAGATCTAGTTCGGATAGAACTTGAAGTACACAAAATAAGTAAAACTAACCCCAACTAAATAAATAGCTAACTCAGTACAATGCTGTAGCAATTAAGTGGTGATATGGTCTACATTCTAACTCATTCCTAATATACGACGAAAAGTCTAATTAATCAATAATTTTGTGAGGCTGTGAGCCTGTGACTACCCAACTCTTGGAGTACTTACCTATTCAGTTCTCAAACTCTTCAAATCTTTGTTTTTCCAGGAATTAGTTTCTTCTTCAATGACAAGATTTGCCTATAAAATACTTTTACGAAATATGAACCAGTAATATTCTACTTTGAGACGCCAGATCCTTAAAAGCAGAAGGTATCATCCTAATCTGATCTCTTTCATTAATCAATACTCCATAGTCTGTAGTTGTATTCTCGAGACTAATGTTTCTATATATTTCCCCCCTCCATTACTTGCAGTAGCTAGCATACGAAGTATGAACCAGTAATATGCCTGGTAAGCTTAATTAGCAGCCTGCTACAGTTCTGGAATAGCACTAGGAGCATTGGAGCAACCCAATTGTTGCATTTGACACAGAATGGAGTACCTACCTCACAGCAAAGCCCGTACAAAGTTGCTTAAGCTGTGCAACTTAAAAACACTTGTCTCACAGCAAACCTCTCTGCTCTCTCCGTAACCCCTCAACTCCTTGCTGGTTTTTTTTTTTTTTTTTTTTTTTTTGGGAAAGGTAAGAAAACTAAACATTAGGAAGCCCTCTTCACAATGGGGATAATGAAACAACTTTAAGATTCTTTAGAAAACATTTGTAAGCTCGAAAGTTGCAGATTGCTGGGATGAATTTGCTAAGAAACAGAAACTTAAGATCTACTTATATGAAGTATGGAAGGATTTTAAAACATGCAGGCCTTGCACGAAGAAGGGGACATACCTCTTGGTGGCGTTCACTTTTTGTCAGCAGTGTTGCTGGGGTGAGATTATCATCGCACCTGCCTTCTACACTGGTTGGCAAGAACAATGAGACAACTTGGATTTCAATTATCTTGCAGTCCCTGTTTATGCTACCCTTCAGATTGGAGTTGAGTTGCACACTTAAGAATAGTAACATTTCAGACAACCAAACATTGTAGTACTGTCTGTTTACACATTTCTGCATGAATTTTTACTAGTCCGGTTCAAATTTACATGCTTCTGGTTATAGATACTTCTGTTTAGTAAATTATCTACTGCATCACAAATGAAGTACTTGCCAATTTTTAATCAAAACAATAAAGGATACAAATAAAAATCACTTGGATATCAATAAATGCTTTAATAAAATCAAACCAGAACAATGATAATGTGTTCAAAATTAATTTAAGAAAATCACTTTTGGTGATGATGATTATATGAAAATAATCCCGATAGTACACATTAAGGTTCATAACAGTAAAGAAAACTTACAGAAGATGCTATTTACAACATACGAAAACTTTGAAGATCGAAGCATAGCTAGAAGTAACTATCTTTTCTATACATCGAGAGCTTACTCTAGAGTGCCATGTCTGTATAACAATTATAAGATTCAAGTCCCATGGACAACTGAAGACTGTGATGAGTAGGTCACTTAGACAGCTATAAACTAATTCCAAGATACCAACATAACAATGATAACATAACCAAGAGAGACTTCCATTTGCACCTACAAAGCTTGCAGGCAATTTCTGTGACCTGTGATTTCTCACATTCTGTAACCATAAAGAAGGCTCCAAAAGCTTCCTTTGTGAGTCCAATTTCTCAGCTAAAAGAAGGCAGGAAGCCGGAAACAGTTTGCTCACGTAATTGGATTTAAGGTTCAACATTCCAGACCATCATAGCACCTTATACAACTCCAAACTTTGCATATGGAAAATCATAGAATTGTTTCCATTGTCCTGACATGACACCCAAATGATCCGATATTATGTGACAAATTCCATTAATAACATGCTAATCCTTAATTGATTAGCACAATACAGACCACAAGAACCAAGCACAAACAACATCCCCTACTACCGATCCACAAAATGCAAGGAATCCACCAACTCATTATAAGTCCTCTCCCCCATTGCAACATCCTTCTTCCTAAACTCCTCAAGAAGCTCTAAAGCCTCAATACCCTTCCCATCCCTACACATCTCCTCCAACAATGTCCTATATGTCAACAAATCCGGTTTCAAAGAATTCTCCAACATATCACGCAAAACCTCAACCGCGTCCTCAAACTTCCTCTCCAATGCCAAACTACACACTAACACCATATACGCCCCACTCGAGGGCACCAACCCTTTCTCCCTCATCTCCTTAAAAAACCCAAACCCCTGCCACACCCTCCCCTTCTCACAACACCCCTTAAACAAATAACCATAACTAAACGCATTGGGCTCACACCCATACAACCCCATCTCACGAAACACTCGTACCGCCTCGTCAACCTGCAAACACTTAGCATAGGCCTTGATGATCATATTCAACACATAGGTATCCGGCACCACACCAAGCGCCTTCATCTGCTTACTCAAAGACCTCACAGCATTCAAATAAACATAACTAACATTCAACTTATTAAACTTCTTAAGCAAAACATTAAACAACATAGCATAAGTCTCCAAATTCGGTTTACAATCAATACTATCAGCCTTCATCATCTTCTTATAAACATCAAAAGCACGATTAAACAAGCAACGATGAGAACAACAGAAACGAATCAAGGAATTGTAAAGGGGTAAACTAACAGGGCAAGCACCGGCGAGAACTTCCTCGAGGAGGGCTTCGGCGTGGCCGTGGCGGCGGCCGGCGACGGCGAGGTGGATCATAGTGAGGTAAGTGGAGGAGTCGTGGGTGTAGCCGCGTTGGTGGGAGGTCCAACGGAAGATGTCGAAGGCTAAATCGGGGTCCGATTGGGAGTTTAAGGCGTGGTTTACGTCCGAAGGGGTGAACCCGGGTTTGAGGAAGTTGACCCATGTTTGGAATTGTTTTTCTGAGGGGGTTTGGGATTTGGGGAAGTGGGGTTGTGTTGGGGGTGGTGGTGGGGTTGTGGAGAGATGGTGGTGGTGTAAGGGAGGAGAGAGAAAATTGCGGAGGTTGGTGGTGATGGTGCGGCGGAAGACGGTGGTTGTCATGGTGGTGGAAGGAGAGAGAAAGTGTAGGAAATGATGGATGAGTCAGAGTGTGGTATGGAGGAGAGAGAGGGATGTAGGAATGGGCCGAGTAGATTTGGGATGGAGTTTGGGCTTGGACACGTTTGGACGAGCCATGTTGGTTTTCCATTACGTCACGTGGCGATAGTTTTCCAATATTTCAATATATTACCTCCGTTCTTTTTTAGTAAGTGTTACACTTTGATAAAACACGCAAGTTAAGACACGAATTTGATCGTTAATTTATCTATTTAAATATTAGTAAAATTATAGGAAAATTGATATTTTGATTGAATACATTATAACGAATATATATATATATATATATACACTCGTATTTGTTTTAGCTGAAGTGAATATGAGAATGAATTTGGTGGTTAATGGACTGATACGTACAACAAAAGTCATGTCTATCAAAAATAAATGGACAGAAAATTAGGCATTACTCCGTAGATTCAAAATCATAAATGTCTCGTATAGTTGTATATGTTCACCCTACATGTCTTGATGTCTACATAATCTAACTTTGTATTTTCTAATTGGATGATGGAATTATGTATCGGAGTATGTTCTATTAGATGGTAAGAATGTTGGATATGAGTATGGCGACACAGGGGAAAGTCTGCACCTACCTCCCTCGTTTCCTATCTTTGATTTAGTGATTTGTATTCCTTTTATCCCTAAAATTTGAAGATACTATTAATGTTTTAAAATGAAGGAAAGGGGATGTTATGGCTATAGCTTGTCGCAATTATTGTTTACAAATATATGGGTTATTTATTTATTTATTTATTTTAACTACTACCTTCGTTACATATTATTTGCAACGATTTGACATAAAAATGTCAAATCGTTGCAAATAATATGTAATGGAGGTAGTATGTAACAATATTTGAGTTGTATCAAGTGCATTGTTTTTCTCTTATCGTGTTGAATTAGAATGTATTACAAAGTTTCTGATTGAGTTGTAGGTTGATGATAATTTTTAATATCTTGAGGTGTCATTTCTACTATTTCTTGGCAATTAACCCATCATTTGGATTAGACTAATTAAAGAATATATTGTTCTACAAGATATAAAGTGAAAAATGTCATGAGTAAAGATAGAATATGATGTTTTGTGTTTTGCTCACTTTGTTGCAAACATCAACATATATTACGATATAATTAGAGTATATTATAATTAGCTTTGGAGAATATATTTTATCTAGGAAATATTTTGTTAGGATATTTATTTTCCATAAGTTATCATGTTTCCTTAGTTTAGTTTGATACGACTAAGGAAACTCTCTGCCTTGTACTATATATATTCCTTTGCCATGTGCTAATGAGAACCAAGCTAAAGTTCAAGTCTTCACATGGTATCAGGCCAAAGAATTCTTTTTTTTCAGCTAATTAGCCATGGCTGGTGATGATGTACCACCACCACCTCCACCTACAAAGATCGAACCCAATTCCCCTTACTACCTCGGTTCACAAGATAGACCGGGGGATTTCATCACTCCTACACGTCTTACGGATGACAATTATGATGCTTGGGCAGCCGACATTCAAACGGCGTTAGAGGCACGCCGGAAGTTTGAATTTCTGGATGGAACGATCGCAGAGTCGTCCCCTCCTTGTACGAAGTCCGATTGGACAACAATCAATGCCATGCTCATCTCGTGGATAACAAACACCATTGACCCAGATTTAAAATCTTCTCTGTCAAAATTCAGGGAGGCAAAATTATTTTGGGATCACCTCAAGCAACGTTTTTCTCAAACGAATGGTCCTCGCATTCAGTAATTGCGTGTGTCCATTGCAAGATGCGAACAACCCAAATCAATGTCGGTCTCTGTTTATTACGACAAGCTCCACTCACTATGGCAGGAATTAGATCGTCACGAGCCCTTGATCTCGTGTTCTTGTTGTACTTCTTGTTCGGCCGGTAAATTACATGAAGAACGCCGAGCACAATCCAGACTACATGATTTTTTAATGGGGTTAAATTCTGATTTTTACTCTTCTCTTCGTACTAATATTCTATCACAAGACCCTCTTCCAAGCCTTGACAGGGCTTATCAATTGGTAACCCAAGATGAGCGTGTTCGCACATCGAGACAGGAGGCTGAGTCTGTGGTCGAATCAAAGCAGCAAGAAGCGGTGGGTTTCGTCGTTCGTGCAGGGGCTAATCGTGGCAGAGGTCGAGAAAAGCCACTCTGCACAAAGTGTCGAAGAACTAGTCACGAAGCCTCGTCTTTTTGGGCAGAGTTAATATGCGGTTACTGTAAGGAAAAGGGACGCCCCGAGACTCATTGCTATGAACTTGTTGGTAGGCCTGAGAGACGAACGGGGCAAGGACGAGGGCATCCTCGTGCTAATGCGGCCACAAGTACAAATTCATCTTCCATTCCTCCCTCTTCTACTACCTCGGCTTTGGGGCAATTATTCACTCCCGAACAATGGAAAGCTATTGCAGGGGTTGTTGATAATACTCAAATACCCGAAAACAGATTGACCGGTAAGTTTGACTTTTCGTCTTGGATTATTGATACCGGCGCAACACATCATGTCACAGGAGATAGTTCTTGGCTTATTGACACTCAAAATATTGAATGCCCGGTTGGTTTACCAAACGGTGCAAAAGTTATAGCTACTTTGGTGGGATCTGTCCGTTTGTCGTAAAAGATAACTCTCACCGGAGTTCTTTATGTTCCGAATTTGAGTTGCAATTTATTATCTTTTTCTCAGCTTAATGATGACTTACATACAATTGTCCAATTTGATTCTCATGTTTGTGCTATACAGGACCATGCGAAGGAGCTTATTGGAACGGGAATTAGGAGAGATGGACTATAATATTTTAGCAAATCGAAAGTGTCAACAGTTGAAGCTACATCAACGTTGGAGTTGTGGCATCGTCGGCTTGGTCATCCATTGGAAAAAGTAATTAAGTTAATTCCTCATGTTAGTAGTAGCAAAGATCATTTAAATAAAGTTTGTGAAGTATGTATGCATGCTAAGCATCCAAGAGACAAATTTCCTTTAAGTGATAATAATGCATCTCGAATATTTGAGAAAATTCATTGTGATTAGTGGGGTCCATATCGACATGTTTCCTCGTGTGGAGCTCGTTATTTTTTGACAATTGTTGATGATTTTTCGAGAGCTGTTTGGGTTTATTTATTGGTTGATAAACTTGAAGTTTTTCAAATTTTTATGGCTTTTATTGCTATGGTAGACAGACAATTTAACCAAACAATTAAAGTGGTCCAAAGTGATAATGGGACAGAGTTTAATTGTTTGCTTGATTATTTTCGAGCCACTGGAATTTTATTTCAAACATCTTGTGTGGGAACACCTCAACAAAATGGGTGTGTAGAGAGGAAACACAAACATCTTTTGAATGTAAGTCGTGCTTTGCGATTTCAAGCACACCTACCAATTTATTTTTGGGGGGAGTGTGTTCTCACTGCCGCTCATCTAATTAACCGCACCCCAACCCCACTCTTGGGAAATAAAACACCTTTTGAAATTCTTTTTGACAAACCACCCTTTTTTGACACTATTCGAACCTTTGGTTGCCTATGCTTTGCTCATAACAAAAAACCAAAGGTGATAAGTTTGCAAGTCATAGTCGGAAGTGTATGTTTGTGGGTTATCCGTTTGGCAAAAAGGGGTGGAGAATGTTTGATTTGACTACAAAAGAATTTTTTGTCTCCCGGGATGTGAAATTCATTGAAGAAGTTTTTCCGTTTGGGAGTCCGGAGGAGGTGAACATTCCAGTTAATGAATATGTTGATCAAAATATTCATGAGATTTTTCAGAGTTGATTTTTGATGAAGAAACTGAGGTTAGCAACTTAATTACTGAACAATTAGCCCAACCCAAATTTGCTACAGACCCACCGCCCATTCAAGCCACACCAGCGAGCGATGGGCCTTCTCCATTGCAGCCCAAGTCGCCTTCTGGTCAGGGCGATGGGTTTCCAGCGAGTGCTGGGCCTTTTCCATCGCAGCCCATCTCGACTTCTGGCCAGGAAGATGGGCCGTTTTCTATCCTTGAGCAGCCCAAGTTAGTGTCTCTTGATCCCAATGATGATGGGCTGCCCCATGAACCTGAAATTCAAGGTAATGACGCAAATGTTGAAGTGTTGGGTCGCGGCCACCGTCAAAAGTTTCCCAATGTCTTGCACCGTGATTTTGTGACACATACGGTTTTTGCTAATAGTCCACTCCCTTCTCCTTCCACTCGCTCCTCATGTACTCTTTATCCTTTGGCACATTACATAAATTGTGACAATTTTTCTGTCAAATATCAAAAATTTCTTGCAGCTATTATCAAGGGTAATGACCCAAGATCTTTCAAGGAGGCAATGAAACATCATGAGTGGCGACAATCTATGAAGGAAGAAATTCGTGCTCTAGAGGACAATGGAACATGGACTTTGGAGCGCCTTCCACCCGGGAAACGTGCTCTCGGCAGTCAATGGGTCTATAAGACCAAATACTTATCAAATGGTGATATTGAAGCTTAATCAAAACAATGTTTCAGCATGGAATATGAAGAGATTGATTAAGATTATACGACATGGAGCTTTAACTACATTGGATGAACAAATTGTGGGTGTAACAGCCCAAGATGACGAGTCCGCGACTCGTATTAGGAGTGAGGCTGAGGCCAAGGCTGCTGCTAAGAAGATTTTTCGCAATGTTGCTAAACCTTTTTCTAGGTCAGTCGTTACTCTTTCTCCCTTAATATGTTTGTTTATTACTACCTCCGTTACAGGTTATGTGCAACGATTTGCCATGCATAAAGCATAGAGGAAAAATGTCTAATCGTTGCATATAACCTGTAACGGAGGTAGTAATTTATTTTCGTTCTTTATTCTGCTACTCACTTGTTTAAATTCATAGTTACTGATAGAGCGTTAAAGAATGGAGGGAGTATTTATCTATCATTAATTTTGATTGAAAAATAAATTACGTTGTCATTTCACTATAATGTTTCCATTTTAGCCATGTTCATCATCTGTATATTCACTTATTTTATGGAGTAGTATATATTCTTGTAACATAAATTGATCATATGTCTATTGTCTAAGCTACTTGTTTTCTTTGGTGAGTATGAATATACAAGTATATAACAAAATAATCAAATCAATTTTATAAATTCAAAGGAATTGTAAGTGGTTATGTGTGTGTAAGGTATGATTCACATTTTATTAATTAATAAATTTTTATATGCTTAAATACTTTTAATTTTCATACATTATATATTTGCTTAGCATAAAAATTTTATGAGAATGTTAGGTACATATATTTGGACGATCTTATGCGTTTTATGCGAGAAGATGAAGCGGAGAGGACATTGAGTCTCTTTGAAGGGGGTATCGAAGACGAGAGAATTAGCAAGAAATCAATGAAGAATTGGGTGGTAATAAGTTACTGCTCCATATAAAACTCATACATATAATTTATTTATTTATTTTTTTGTGTGTGTGTGGAAATATGAAATTTTTTCTATGGAGGCGGATGCACGATGCTCCGTGCATCCGTTTTCTCTTTAAAAACGCAGAATGAACATTCCGTTGTTCAGTAAAGAACATACATTTGTTTTGTAAAGAACATATAGCTATTTCATAATGAACATCACATATAGTTGTACTGTAATGAACATATACCTATTTTGTAAAAAAAACATCCAACTTCATGTTATTTATATGTATATCTAAAGAACATCCGTAATATTAATTAAAAACATGATAATTAGAGGTGATCGACTTTGGCCCGACCCGATCCGGCTTGATCCAGCCCGAAAATAGGGCGGGTTTAGACAAACCTAAAAATGTATTTTTAGTTAAAAAATCCAAACTCGGCCCGAAAAAAACCCAAAAATCCCACTAAATTTTCCCGGTTTGACACGAGATATTATGTTAAGGCCCAGCCCGACCTGAATTTTTTATCACCTCTAATGATAATATATTGTAATGAACATTATTTTATTCAACCACCATAATCTAAAGACAAAATTCAAATAATATTTCAAAATAAACAATTAACATATGTCACAAATAAAAGTACATTATTTTGATAATCAAAGAACATGAAGATAAAGAATTATTTAACTGCACATTATATTCATTACAATTTTATAACATGTTCTTTACACTTTAACTGAATGTTCTTTACATTTCTATACAATGTTCTTTATAATTCTAAAATATATTCTTTTCACTTAAACTAAATGTTCTTTATATTTCTATGCAATGTTCTTTCCGCTTTTTTTTAGAAGAGATGCACAATGTGGATCGTGCATCCGCTTGCACGAACCATGCTTTGAAATAGTGCATAGAAATTCTTTTAGAAGAGTTACCACTAAGGGGGGGCATTTGGTTCACGGATTATAGGTATGAGGTATGAGTTTAGAATGACCAAAATCCATACCATATGTTTGGCTGTCAAAAATATGATTTTTAAACCCATACCTCAAACCCATGAGGTATGGGGTTTAGAAATTTTGAGGGGAAGGTGGGTTTGGCTCATTCCATTCCCTTAGGTATCAAATACATGAAATTATGATATTCCATTCCAGAATTGAACCAAACACATGGTATTAAGTATCAAGTTCCAACCTGATACCACCTTAACCCTATTCCTGATTCCAAACCTATACCACTTTCTGAACCAAACGCCCCTTACATTCCATGTAATAGTTATGGGCATTGCTCGAGCCTTAATACTGATTAAGTTTATATCGTATGTGTTGTTACCTAGGTTAATGCTTTTCGAGAAAGAAGAGCGCTTTCATTGACACTAGGAGACACAAAATCAGCTGTTAACAAGCTACATAAGATGGTGAATGTTATAGTTAGCATCATTATCGTCATCTTCGGGTTTATATTCTCAAACATCATTTCCTCATAATCTCTCTTATTCTTAAGCTCTCAAGTTGTTGTCGTTGCATTTGTTTTTGGAAACACTTGTAAAAACATATTTGAATCCATCGTTTTCTTGTTTGTGATACACCCATTCGATGTTGGTGATCGTTGTGAGATTAATGGAGTTCAGGTACGCCAACTAAAAGAGCTGCTAAAGTCTTTAAATTCCCCTGTCTCTTATTACTTGCATCATTTTTGACTTTTTACACTGTTACATATTATGACCATCTTTTTATGCTAAGATATTGTTAAATTTATTTACTAATATAGATATTTAATAATAATGAAGGTTAAATTTATGCGATTGTAAACATGTCTAGTCAAAATGATGCAAGTAATCTTGAAAATGGGAGTACATGATACATATTCTGACTTTAACTGTTTTCTTCTTTCTCAATACAGATGGTTGTGGAAGAGATTAACATATTAACCACAGTTTTCTTAAGATTTGACAATCAAAAGATTGTTTTCCCTAACTATATTCTCTTAACAAAGCCAATCCATAATTATTATCGTAGCCCTGATATGGGAGATGGAATTGAATTGTGCTTCCATATTGCAACTCCTGCGGAAAAAATTGCCGTCATAAGGCAAAGAATAACAAGGTTAGATACTAACCTTCAATTACATATAATCGCGCCTATAAGTACTCGTATACAACATTATTCAATCAACATAATATTATCCTCTAGCACACACAACTTTAGATTTGAATCCGTGACCTTTGTGTCACGTTAACTCTGATACCATGTCAGTGGACTATCTCAACTTAAGCTTATGGTTGAAGCTCATGATTGGTTTATATATTCTATCAAATTCTTACTCCTATGTTCCGCATATTATGCAACTATAACGAGAATAAGAAGGAGCATTGGTATCCAGAACCAATGGTCATATTAAAGGATACAGATGGTCTAAACATGCTACGAATAGCGGTTTGGCTACAACATCGAATGAACCATCAAGACATGGGTGAAAGATGGGTAAGACGAGCACTTTTGATCGAGGAATGTGTAAAGATTTTTAGAGAGATGGATATCGAGTATCGAGTATAACCTATGAATGTTAATGTAACGTCCATTCCAACTCTCAATTATGCTAAAGTATCTCCACCTAGTTGGAATGCTCCTCCTCCTGATAGCGGGAAACAGGTTGTTGTTCCCTAGTAGAGTTATAGTGCAATTAATACATAATTAGTTATTTAATTTGTCTCGTAAAAACAAAATATGATTGATTGCGTATAGGATTACAATGATTTTGGAGTTTTGAATTACAATTTGTTTATACACACACACACACACACACACATATATATATATATATGTTCCAAGAATATGTTACAAAATATTGACAAACGTGATGAAAAATTGTGTTAGCTAATCTGAAATGGAGAAAGTATTAAATTACTCTAATTTTGTCATGAATAATCACACTGCAATATTTACATATTACTTGACATAACTAATTGATATTATTTTACTACAGGTAAGAGGAAAGTTGTTATGATTTGAATCGTTTATTTCATCAAATCACTTTCTTAAATAGTGTGCCAAAAAGTTGTCAAAAATAAAATAAAATATAGTGCCAAAAAAGATGTGTAGAAAGTATATATAGAAAAATAGAGAAAATCAAGTAATAACCCGTGCATTAAACAGGACAATAGACTAGTCAAAGCTAAAATAATAAACCCTTTCAATGAATACCTAGCTGTCATTCAGCTTCCTAATTTTTTTTAAATGTAAAGTAGATTCTATTAAGTTATTTGAAAAGGGCATATAGGAATGAAAAGAATATTAATTTTTAATTATTATGGAATAACTTTGTCTTGTGTGTGGTTCATCACACCATGTTTCCGCTTGTGAAAGAACAAAGTTACTCCTGATTGAGTAGCTGCTATAATGCTAACCGAGTAACCCTATAACGTTGATAAAGTAATCCTATCACGTTGACAAAGTAACTATTATAACACTAACGAAGTAACTCCAAGATGGTTGGCCACATGGTGTGACCAACCACATATAAAAATGCGTGATTATTATTAACTATAGTATTAAGTGCTAGTTCTTTTGGACTTATTTTAAGTTCAATTTAGTTCAATTCAAGTCATTTTTTTTAAATAATGCAAGTCATTTTAGTTTTATTTGATGATTATTATTTTATTTTGAGGAAATCGATGATTGTTACTCCATTATTATTAGGATCTTGCTAACGAACGCCCCCGGGCGTAGGATAAGCATTTAAAATATTGCCTAAAATGATATTAATTTGGAAAAGCATGACAAAATCACGCGTCGATCGGTGTAATTAATGTTCATTTTAATTTAATATTTCTACTTTTAGATAGCTTATCCAACGCCCCCGGGGCGTTCATTAGCTTTTGCCTTATTATTACCAAGTACAATTATTAATTGATAACCAAAAAAGGTACAATTATTAATTTATTAATCACTTTACTTTAGTCCCATCCAGCTCAAAGATGGCCTAATTATCAAATTAGGGTATGTTCTCATCTTATTTTCAGTTCAGTTCAACTCTAATCAGTTCAGTTCAACTCTAATCAGTTTAATTTGGTTCCTAATTTCCTTATCTTATACTCGTAAAAAATTCAGTTCAGTTCATTTTATTTCATTTAAGGTCCAATCAGTTTAGTTTAATAAATTACAACAAACTTTACACCTGCGGAAAAAAAAAAGGTCAAAATCCAAGAGAAAACCTAAAGATGGCAGCAATCTAAAGATATTTCTAAATTCTAATCATTTGTCTGCTAAACCTTTTTATATTACTCAAACTATCAAATGGTAGTTGCCAGTGCCAGAGCTTTCTTCTTCAGGTAAAATACAGTACAAAATCAATACATTTGATGTCCATGCTCCAACTCTTTTATATTGTACGGACTACGGAGTAATTGATTTAAGAACGAAATTAACGGTTTATTGATTATTTCAATTTTGCTGGGCCAAAACTCCAATTCATGGATTGTTCTGTCTTTTATTTTGCAGAATTCCTCGACCTTCGCAATTTACAAATTCGTATTCGTTTCTTTATATACCACAGCGATTACAGGTATATTTGCTTTATTTTATCATTTATTGATTGATTGATTTTTTATTTTTTGGTTGATCATTTATGTGATTTAATGAAGAAATACTTATTTTACATTTTAGGGGTTGTGGTTGAATTTGATACCTGTTAAGGAATTGTGTTGTTTGTGTTGCTTTTTTTGATAAATGGGTTTTGTTCCCCTCCTTGGGAAATTATAGTTAATGTGAAGTTTGAGGTAAGCACTTAGTGTAGTTTCATCGAATTACGGCGTGTTCTTGTTGAGTTTGAGGGCTTATTATTGGCAGTGTGATTTCACCATAATGTGCTTATAGCGCGTTATTTGTTGTTACATGGGTGTCTATCCTACAATGGGTGTAAATTTACACTCTCTCGCATTCGCCTCCCAATGTGATTAGCTCATGAGTACATGGTGAAGGGAATTTGAAAGGGTGTAAAAGTGTAAGACTATACCTTGGTGTATGATGAAAATTGTAGTTGTTACATGGGTCATAGTTGTGATGACGGAATGGGTTTTCCGACTCAAAAGTAATAAATTACAAGAAAAAAGATCTATTGATTTACTTGGTCTATGATATACTTAAGGTAGTACCTTGTCAATAGTGTTTTAGTAAGATTAGTATGTTATGGATTGCACATTGTGAGGATTTCTGCTATATAATAATAGGTATAATCCATGGTGGATATTTGTTGATCATTCACTAAACGAAATGCACTCAATCCATAGAGCATTGGGTTTGCTTGGCCTAGTTCATAGAGCCAAGTGTGTATTTTTGATGGCTACTGAGTATTGCATTTGTCATTTATCTATTGCTTCAGTATTTGCTTGTTTATTATCTAGAACTCTTCTTGTTTTTGTTGACTTAACTTTTATTGTTTTCACTTTTCAGGGATACCATTGTTATCATGGCTTAAGCAATTTCAGCAAAGAAAGTGCGTCAAAGGGAATTCATTGTTTCAAGGGTTGGAACAATAAGATGAAAGCAGTATATCCTGTTTGGAGGCCAATCAGTACTCAATCCACTTCGAATGATGGTAGGTTTTCCACTTCCCCAGCTTCAGATATATTCTTTAGATCTTTCTCTATTTGATAAATGCTTGTATATTTGCAGTTGGTTTCTAGTTTATCATGATTTCTTTTGGCAGATACAAAATCATAATTAGCCATGGCTTGATGGCCATTAAGGCTCATAATTCCAGCCTTGTAGGGACTTAGCTTTCTAAATTTCAACTTTTAGCCCTGCTTGGTCCTCTCATAGTTTTTTTCTTGTAAAGTTAGCACCCCTCCATTAGTTTTTGACGATTATTAGCAAGATCTGGAGCACATAAGTACATCAGTATAGTTATTCAAAATCTTAGGATAATTAAGTAAACTATAGGTGATCCATTGTGGGCTGTGGCTCTTCTGGATATGCCCAGTCTGAATGTTATTTTTATTTTCCATTTCTTAACTAATAAAGCGCTGTGTGTGAGAGACAACAGAGATGTAGTTTGTTTGGAATTTGGGTTACTAAATATCAACCTCAGCAGTATGCTATACTTTCCCATACTAGGACTTTACAGCTAGAGTACAATAAGGTTGTTTATGGGTGTCTTCCTTTAAACAAACACCTTTTTCCTCCATATTCTAAAAATTAGTGACTTTGGATTGTCTGATTAAAGACCTTTATTTTGGCTTCCTTACCATTTAAGACCTACCTAAGCTGCCATACATACATTACGGAATTTACATCTTGCAGATTCTAGCTTTGATTTTCTAAGCTCTGTTATCAAATTATAAGCTGCATGATGCGCTAGCAGTTGTTGATACAATAGATTGAATGATAATAATTTGCTTCACTGTGATTTCACTTGAGAGGAATAAGAGACAACTAATTGTAATTCAAAATTCAACTTTTTAAGGCTTTTGTGAAATATAATAGGACAAGAATACCAGAAGCAGCAACAATAATATAGTATATGTCTTGCTGTTAGTCGGAATATCTATAGATATGTACTTAGCCTTAATCCTATCAGGTTGAATCTACTAGAGGTGTAAAGATGAATACTTTAAGAATTCTTATAGCTTTTGTAACAAACAAAGATATTCACGAACTTTCAGACTGCTCATTGGATTAAGGCTAAATGAACATGAGAAGTGTGCTGTATCTGTAGGGGTAGCAGCAGATGATTCAACAGTCTCTTCATCTCTGCAAGCTAATAATGAGGTTGGTGTAGCTGAAGGTGTCCAGGCTAGCCATGGTACTGTCATGCAGAATAGCTTTGAAGTCACTGATGCAGAAAAAGTATCAACTGAAAGCAAGGAAAAAATTGCTGTTTCTGTAGAGGTATGATTTATGCTTCTGTACTACATTGGACCTATTCTCGGGGGATGGACCTCTGTGCATAGATACACAAACAATGATTCCATGATGGCATACTGCTGAAACTGAAAGCAGTCTTGTAAGGCCATGCTTAGTAATGGCCACATTTTCAACTGACCTAGCTAAGAGATCCTCAGTTTTAGCTTTCTCGGACATTGCCACGTATTCTTTGTTAATTTTTTTGGTAATGTCTGGGAGGTTGTGCTCTGCACGAAAGGTGTTTCTAGCTGGCTGCAAATGTTCTTATTTGTTTATTTATTTATTTTAATTTGTTTATGTATGGATTGCTGATAAAAAAGATTATACGTCTATTATAATGCTACATAAGATGTTTATAATTGTTGCGTCCTATCTAAGATCTAGCTAAAAAAGTCTTAAGTTCTGGAAAATTGCTAAATACTCTTGGCTACTTTTCTGGGTATGGCTGAGAGGTTGCAGAATTTTTAGCATGCTGCATATGTTCTTTTTTAATTTTACGATTTGCAGAATATAAATGGTACTGACTATATCTAATACAATATTACGACTTAATCTGTTTTTTAAAACTTCACGCCTCTAGTGAAAGGTTGACATTTCTCTGTCTCTTTTTGCAGTAGCTTTTTATTTTACTCCGTATTTTATATTTTTCTTCGCAAAAACTGCAAAATTGATTAGCCTTTTGCATGTCAAATAGGTATAGAGCTTTTTTGGATTGTTGTTACTTTATATGAGTAAGTGTTAATAAGATTGCAGGACACTGGGATATACTTAAAATAATTTATTTTCTTTCTTTCTTTCTTTTGTTTTTTTCCCCTGGAAATTCTGGACTACTGATCTAGCTACTTATTGTTGTGCATTGTTTTTGAAAGAATTGATTATTTTTCGCTTTCTACTTCAAGATTGGTTCTTGAGATTGTAGGAAGCAGACATGTCCAATCTATAATACATCTGGATCTAGAGTTCTAAATTGTGGATAATTGTGAAAAAGAGGGCGTGAAATATAGCAAAGATTGATTTTTTCCCAGGTCTTTTGTCTGGTGGTGCATATAAGGTATTGAGAAAAGTAACATGTTGAAGTTTGCTTTTGTGCGATTGTATGATTTAAAGACAAACTTGCTCTTCCTTAGTTATGTACTTGGATTTTTGCTGCATTCTGTCTTGATTCTTGATAAATTGTCTTACCTTATTACAGGTAGGTGCTTCTGTCATGCGTTTCATTGGATATAAAGAGTAATGACATTATCAGCTTATTTCATTGATGTTTTATAGGAGTTTATTAAGTGAACCCTGGGAAGCTACAAACTAGATGCTCTATCCACTCTTTTCTTATTTTGCCTCCTTTTTGGATTCACATTGTAGTAAATCTTTGCGGGAAAGCATTGAGAAGGAAATGGGGGTCAAGTTAATATTTCCATCATCAAAGTTGGAGGATTCTATTGGTACATTTCTCGCTCATTGTTTATTTCCATTGCATACTGCCTGATACTTCTTACTTATTCTTCGTCGTTTTCATATTTGAGGAATCCTGGCTAAATCTTCTTGCCTCGTTTTATCAATGCCTAAGGCTGCTTACTTTGGAAACATATATTGAAGTTAAGATTGATAATTTTTCCCTTTAGAAAATTCTTAACTTTCAGTTGCCTCTTTATCCTGTACCTTCATGGTGGAATGTTTACATTCTGTTGATTTTTGTAGCTAATTAATTGAGCTACCTTGTTCTTGATAATTTGCTTTAAAGTTAAATTATTGTTATAAGGTTTAGAATTGTATTGAATACAGCCTCCCTACAGCTTTACACTGGTTTAGTATAAGGTTGCATACTTTGACCTCACACCTCCCTATTGACCCTATACCTTGCCCTTAGTATAAGTCATACAACTATACAAGGTAGTTGCTGTATTGCCTGTATTTAAAATTTTAGAATCTAGTTAAGCTGTTTCAATGTGAAATGATATTGTTTAATAATGGATAATTCTTCTCTCATCCCCCCTTTATAAGTTTATATGATGCCATTGCCAATTTTCATAATTTTGGTAATGGATGATTCTTCTGTCAATGATTGATAATTATCATAGTGAGGGACCCCTGCCGTTTAAGAATGGCATTATTATCAATCGAAAGAATGATTCTCCTGTATATGTCACTATGCTTTTTCACGAGTCAATAATTCATGTTGGCATTGATTACGCAAAATATTAGTGAATATTTAGGACAGTTGAAAATGCTTCCTGAGTATTAATTAGCTCAATCATTTTGGTGAACAGTAACCATATTTTTATGCACCGAGCCGTGGTCTTGTTGAAAAGGTGAGACTCTTAGGAAGACCTGGAAGAGTGTACCATCATTCTAATGCCATCTAAAAATTAGAGTATGCACATAGGATATTAATAAGTACTGGGGAATTTGACGATAGAAGAAAGCTACTGCAGCACTTCTAAACCTATCAAATTCAATCACTTCGAAAGCAAGCTGCTTTCATCGTCAACACGGTTACATATGCAAAATTTAAGTTCGCGCAGCAATCTCGTTGAATCAGTTATGCAGTATGCTATTAAAGATTTTGACCTGATGTTCAAACTAAACTGCTCCATGTGGAGCTGAATTTATTAGATTATAATTCATCAATTCTAACAGCTTCATACTTTCTTGAAACTGCCGATAAGTTCTCAAATATTGAACAATCTGAAATTAGGCAAAAATTACTCAGATTCTCACTGGCTCTTATACGGAAGAGCTCTTTTACGGAAGCAACTGATTCATCATTTTCGTTTTATCTCTGCCAAGATGGCAAGTCAGCACTTAAGCATTCAAACTCATAGTTGACACCTCTTTAAATTAATAGTAACTCTTTAGATTTTTGCTAAATGTGCCCTTGCTTTTCATTACATTTTCTTCATCCTACCGTGAATCTGGAATCAATTCTGAATAAGCACTCACTTACGTGAAAAATGGAGTATTGTTTTTTCCTTTTTTCTTTCTGATTTTTTTTTGTTATTATTTTTATTTTTTTAATGAAAGAGATATAGTGTATTGTTAAAGCATTTCCAGGCTTCTGGCATTTTACATCTTCTCTTATAAAAATACCTCTTCTATTCTTCCTGGAAAGCAGGCTTAGTTACCAAAGCTTCCTTTTAAAGCATGCTTATTTACCATGACTTCCTTTTATTTTATTTTCCTTTTTTATGAGCTGTCAATGACTCTTGTTTCAGTAATTGAAGGTGATTCCATGGATGCAATTACCAAAGCTTCAGAAAAAATCCAGGCTATAATTGACAAGGTTGGTTGATCATCATCAAATGTTCTGTCTAGAAATTGCATTTTTTTTTTGGTTGCAAGGAAATAGCTAATTTGCAGCAATGAGAAATACGTCTTTGTTGATCATTTGCAGAAATATTGTTGGCTTGTTGCTAGATTTTACTTTCTTGATATCTAGAGCAAGACAACTAATATGATCCCTTCACCCTCCAATCGTTTCTAGGTTTCTAGCTTAGCTGATGGTATGTACTGTGTCAGAAAGTCAATAAAAATATCCTGGGGAAATTCTCGTACAAGTTCATATTAACTTTTTCAATTGGTTCAAGGAAATGTTTGCTATGTCTAGTACATATTCTTGTGCGTTGTGTTTATGTAAGCCAAATGTGGCTAAATTTTAGAGTTATGGTGATCATCAAAGTTGCAATAACGAATCATTAAAGTTTTTTTTGTGTATGTTTGCAGTTAAGAAAAGATAGACTTTGTATTTTATTTTACTGTATTTCATTTTAATTCTATTATTTATTTATTTATTTATTTGTTTGAAAAAGAATCTTTAACATCTATGTACGTCAATTTTGGATAGACAAGAGTGGTGGTATGACTACTATAAATCTCTCTGAGTCACTGAGGCTTTAAACATCTGTTTCTCTTTCTAGGTTACTTTTCCTTTGATTTGTCTCCAGTCTTTACAATATAGATAGATTTACTATTTTTAAATAATTTCAAATGCTCTTGATCATGTTTTGTAACAGATGCTTCCCTCCATCTTTTGCGTTATCGTTTTGGTGCTAGGCATATTTAATGTTTAATGCATCTTCACTATTGTTTGAATTAAGTACATTAACTTACTGTTAAGTTGCATGGAATTTTTCCTAAAAAAAAAAAAAAAAAAAAAAGTTGCATGGAATTTACTCCACAGTTCTAATTTACTAGGATGGATTCTAAATTCTTATTGTACAAGTCCATCAAATGCTTCTGTTCTTCAACTTGTGATTTTTAAAATGCTCAATATAGTTAATAGGAACTTGACAACTACTGTGCCCTGTGGGGGAATCATAAAAGAGTTTGACTAGTATTTATGAGGATGGAGGGAGTACATTTTAAAATACCAATGGTGCTCTTTTGCTGTGTACTTATTCTGGAAGAATCATCTCCACCTATGTTTTTATTGACGAATGAAATCAGATGCAACCAATTGCTTTGTTAAAAAAGGGTTGTACAAGCAACGTGGATAAGCTGTCTTATAAACCAGTAAAAGTAAATTACAGATAATCCCAGTTTCATTGAATCTTCCCTAGCAAGTTACCCTTGAGATCAGGTGCAACCTATTATTCTCTTGTATGCCTGCACTCCCTGCAGCAGCATCTAATTCTTGAGCATTGTTTGTGTTTGCTAATCAATTTATTTGTCCAGTCACATGCAGTGGTTCATGTGAATATTGGAAGCATTTTCCACCTAAAATCAAGCTGTTTCCTGCTTATGGAATAATTCTTTACAGGCTTTGATAATTTGATTTTACTCCCTCCGTCTTTCTAAGGATTCCACCTTGCCATTTCTGCTGTTATACTGTGCTTGACAAAATCTATGATATCTAAAGGAAAGCCCAACATGACTGCTATGAGCTCCAATTGGCTGTTAAAAATTCTGTTTACTTGTTCCTTTCGATACTTGTCTTCTTTTCCTGCTCTATCAGATTTCTCAAACATTGCATTTACATTGTGAACATGGAAGTTGTATCATTTGTTTTTTTTGTTTTTTTCCCCTTTTGTTTCTGGATGACAGGCTGTTAATTCTTCAGCTTTGACCTTCTCCCACTTGATCTCGCTTCCATTAGCCATACACAATGAACTGGTTGATAAACTCAACAGATTTCAGTCCACTGTACTGGCATATAGTGATTCTAAAGATGCAGATGGGACTATGGATGTTGATTCAAGTGATGAGGCTTCTGAAGATGGAGAAAAAAATGTAAAACCTGTAAATGCAGATGTTGCTGCCAATCTTAAAGTTGACGACACTCATAATGTTAAAAGGGATACAAAGGACATACCTCTTGTAAGCTATGCACCTAAAACATCTGGTACAAGATTCTTCTCTACCTCCTCTGTTGCATCCTGTTGCTTTTCCTATATAAATTCTGTTGTAGGAAATCTTGAAACCGCATCTAAAATTGTCTCTCTCACCACACCCCACAATATGTACTGAGCCTTCTCATGGAAAGAATCTGTTCATTATTCTACCCGTCTTCATTACTCTTCAAGAAGACAAAGGCCCTATGGAAGATCAATGCAACCATATAAACATATAGTTTCAAATTTGTTGATCAAGAGACAATACCTCACTATTCCTCACCCAAAAAAACTTGCTACTATTTCACTGTTGGATGTTAATGGAATAAATTTTTTTTGGCTAATTATAGTATTTGCATTTTTTTATTTATTGTTGTGTGTTGAATTAAGAGATTGGAAATAGTCTATCTGTTCACTTTGAGATAAGGTTACATACGTTAGAATTCCTACCCTGCCAAGGATGGTAACCTGTTTAGAGAACAATTGGGATAATTTTGATGGTGAAAAACTTATCTATTGATGACTTGACGCAATAGACATGCATCAACTTATACCAAGTTATCTCTTGTATTTGATTTCTCTATTTCTTTTCCTTGTCAGGATTGGGGATTGATAAATCTATATTTATCAAACCAAAAAGATTTCACTTAACTGTAGTAATGCTGAAGTTATGGAATAAGGGACGTGTCAATGCAGCTAAAGAGGTTTTGCAGGTATATCTGTTAAAACTTATTGTAATTGCTTTCTTGTAAACTTTCTTCTGTAACACAATTTTTTGTGATTTTATCCAGAGCATCTCCTCTGAACTAATTGAGGTTTTGGACAATCGACCTTTATTTATTAGACTTAAAGGGCTGGTAAGACTCATTCTGACTAGCTATGTAGCTTTGGATCTGATGAATTTGGTATTATGTTATGAATCTAAACTAGGCTGCACTAGCTGTTGGCCTTGGAAGAGAAAGACTTACTCTATCTGATGATGCTTTCTTCACTCAAGGCTAATTAGTGATTGGTTTTCTCTTTGCTTGTCTTTCCCTTATAGTAGTTTACTATGTTTATTTTAGCTATTTTACCATTTAAGAAACCCTTATTTGATTCCAGGATTGCTTGAGAGGATCTCGAAACAAAGCTCAAGTTCTTTATGCTCCCGTTGAAGAAATTGGTAATGAGGGGCGACTTCATCGTGCATGTCGTATCCATTTACTACTTGGATTCTTTTTCTTTTAAAAACAATATTTATATATGATAATAATATTGATGTCTCCACATAGTAACTTCTTCTCTCAAGTAATGATTTATACTTCAATATATATGATAATAATGTTGATGTCTCCACAATTCCACATATTAACTTTTTATTAATCCCTGAAAACACTATAGTATTTCCTCAGCTATTATAGAACTCATCATTGATGCCTATGTCAAAGCTGGACTAGTACTTGAGAAAGATGCTAAGCAAAAGTTAAAGGTATATTATCTGATGCTCTGGTTTTCTGCTTGATTTCTGCTTATAACCTGCTTTTGACATCAATAATTCAGTGCTCTTTATAATCCAATTTTCTTGTGTGGTTTTGGAAAACTATTATGTGACCATCTTTCAAACTGCAACAAGAAGTAGAATGCTAAGGCATCTCAAATGGAACTTATTGGTATTTATACTGGAGGAACATGAAAAATAATAAAGAAATAAAAATAAAAACAAAAAAAAACACAATTGAAGTGAAAGAGGGCTTTTAAGTTTGATGATTACTTTGTGACCTTTGTCTTGGTGCTTAATTCTTAATTATATAACCAGACATTCAGATGTTCTATCTTTTGTAAGCTTTCTCTCCTGCTATATATCACCGGAAAAAGACTGATATTGACAGTTGAATATTAAAATTAAAACAACCTGCAAGTATTTTTGAGCTGTGTCAATATCAATATTTCTTTCATCATTTTAAAAACACCAAGAATAGTCTTTAATGCCATCCGATGGTGTCACTTTTGATTTAGCCTTCCATCATTGTAACATATATGAGGATTAAGGAGCATGGCGGGAATTTTCGTTTCTTGCATCTCTATTGACTGCATGTCTGCATGTACACCATGTTTGCCTCAGTTTGGTTGATCTGTAGTATGAGTGCTTTGTAGTGTTTGTCTGTCATTGTAATTGGGATGTCTAATTGCATCTACTTGCTTCAGAATCTGTCTGTTACATGTACATACATGAAATTGGTGACTGAAATGGATTTTAAGTGTTGGCAGTGGTCTGGTCTGGCAGTCTCCATTCTATGTTTCTTCCCTCCATCGTCTAAATTGCTTTGCATGACAGATTATTTAATTTGGTTCATTTAATGCTGATAGTAGTATCATTGCTCCCTTAAACTGCAGCTGCATGCTACTGTGATGAATACAACACAAAGGAAAGGAGTAAACAAGAGGAAACATAGAAGAGGGAAAGACTCTTTTGATGCCACACCCATTTTCGAGCAATTTGGGTCTGAAGCATGGGGTGATTATCACATCCGTGAAGCTCATCTTTCACAAAGATTCTTGTATGATGATAATGATTACTACCACTGCTGCGCTTCCATACCCTTTCCTGAGATCACAGAAGTTCCTGCTAGCAGTGCCACTCCGGCTGAGTCTGTAGAAGAGTCCATAGCCGAGAGCGTGTAATCTTCTTGTATGGAGTACAATACCCTTGTTTTTCTGTCAGTTCCAGTTTGTACTGATAGCCTTTCGCATGCCTAGAGGACAAGGAACAACCAAAGTCAATTTTCAAGCTCAATGTTTGACAATGCATGGTTTTCAATGTTTTATTAATTTTTTTGTTAGAATAGTCTTTAGTGATGTAAGAAATTAAAAATAATGTTTGTTGAGTGCATCTAAAAAAAAATGAAAAAAAAAATTTGTTTGTAGGGTTGGTTGGCAAATGACTTGGCCTTATATGAAGTCTTTTAGTCAAAATTTTTGCTGGCTTTTAGTTTGTTACTCCGTAATGTTGTTTTAATGATTTAAAGAATTTGGTCGGCAAAAACTTTGGAGCAGATTTCTAGCTTTCTGCTGTTGACTGAAAAAAAGGGGCAAATACAGAAATAAAATCTGGTCATCTTTTACAGTATTTATTTTATTTGACATACTGGTCATTATTTCATCAAAAAAATTTGCACTAAACCATTGCTAAAACTCACTATTACAATTTACTTGTATCAAACTTTTGCACCAAATCTAGCAAAGCTTGGTCTAGTGATAATTGGTAAGGTTTGCATCTATTGGATGGGGATTCCCTTACCTTTTCTCTCCCCAATCTCAAAGGACTTAGCCCGTAAACTTGAGTCTAGTGGACTTGTGAGCGGTTCTTGTCAAATAGCATCCTCCTTACCCAAAAAAAAAAAAAAAAAAAACTATCCAACTTTTCCTATAGTAAGGGCCTGTTCTAATTGAACTGAATTGATTGGAGCTGAATTGAACTAAATAGAGATGAAATGAATGTTTTATGAGAGAAGGAAATTAGAAAATGAACTGAACTAATTGGAGCTGAGCTAAAATGAACTGAAATTAAGCTGAAGAGAACATACACTAAAAGGAATACTTATTATTAAGTTTATCATTGATTCTTTTTTTTTCGTTGGGGGGGGGGGGGAGGAAGAAATGACAATAGACTAAGACCCTGTTTGATTCACCTTAATTCTGCTGAACTGAAATTATTTTTACTGAATTGAACTTATTTTTACTGAACTGAACTTAATTTTACTGAACTGAAATTATTTTTACTGAATTTAAATTATTTTTACTGAACTGAAATTATTTTTACTGATTTTCTATTATAATTCTTCTTTAAGAAAACTGAATTTTACTGAACTGAACTTATTTTTACTAAACTGAAATTATTTTTACTTAATATTATTTTTTTTAAGGTGAAGAGAACAGGGCCTAATTCGACATTTTAGTTCAATCAAGTCTAATTGATGTAAAATGAGTCGGGTTCAATCAAATCTAATTGAGTTTGGATTAGTTCGAGTTTAGACTTCATTGTGTCCATGTAAGTGAAATACTAAATCAAAGTAATTTTCAATTTAGATAAAATCTAATCGGAATTGGTCAGTTTTAAACACCCTTATTTATGTCTGCGTTCTTAAAATTTGTACTAGTATTCTACCATCATTGTTGTTTTAATTATTCTCCCTAACAAGACTACAAGAGTAACAACCTCAAATATGATGATAATTTGAGGACAGACGAAATAGCATATAGCATATTCATTATTCAATGTCCTACCTAACATTTTAATCTTTTCATACTTCGTATGTTATAGAATTGTACACTAGATCATATAACATCAAACGCATCAATTTAATTAGCATATTTTAATATAAACAACGAAACTCTACTTAGCTAAAAAGGGTAAAACTTGCTTCTTTGACATTGTACTAGTACAGCTGTAACACAACGTACATCTGCAAAATAAAACAAAAATTATACTTCCTCCGTTCTGTTAATATTGCAACAAGGAGGAAATTACGCATTCCGAAACACATTTTATATGCTAAATATCTATAATTGTGTAATAGTAAAAATTATAAAAAGTTGATTTTGTGAAAGTATTATATGAGACGAATCCAACAAGATCTCACTTGACTATATTTTGCTTAATGTATAACTCATATTATATGATCAAACAAGAGTGATGAGTAGTGCAAAAAGTCCATTGTTGCAGTATTAATAGAACGGAGGAAGTATATTTTATTTTATGGAGGATAAGTTTGATATTAATTAAAATTAGATGCTGATTAGTTGGTGCTAATAAATTAAGTTTTCTTTAACGAATTTGTTTATTTAAACTAATTACACAATTAAACTAATGACATAACAAGTCTACCATCACTTGATCCCAGAAGACAACTACTGTACAATTGTCCCCACCTTTTATGGAAAGAACATGCATTTATGTTTAATAGTTAGCAATTCAATCTAATCCAAAACATAATCAAACGAACAATCCTAGAGCTACTATTAATCGTCACATGTTCATCCCACAGTAGTTCTTGTATCACACGGTCTAATTAATTCAATTTTATGTTAAATGGATTAATCTGACATGGCTTTTTTCCAACTTTTAATTTATTGGTTTAACGATCAGATCGTCTTTCTTAAGAATTACATGTACGCACATTGTTTCGGGTCTTTTTTGGATCTCCTGGGATACTGGTCACGCTTTGCTGGCAATACGTTGGTCCCACCTGCAAAACCACGAATATTCCGTTCAACGGAATATTCGTCTCCGACGATCAAGTCAGTGATCAAAACGGAAAAAGGGCTAGAGAGAGAAAGTAGAGAGAAGTTGGAGCTATTTAATGCTCTGTGTTTTTTATTGTCCGAAAATCCCCCTTCATCATAAATGATTGGGGTATTTATAGGGGTGGGATTCGTGCCCCTCTAGGGTTTATACCCTAGATTTGCGTGACGTGATTGGCTGCGCAATCAGCGATCGCCACGTGCCCCTCTAGGGGCGCCGTTTTGCGGCTTTCAGTGTCATCTCTCAGAATTTGGGCCCTGACGTTGTTAGGGCTTTTTGGCGTGCTCTTTTTTAGATGCATCTTCCCGTGGTACACGTGTCGCCCTATGGCTGGGCCACGTGTCACCATGGGATTGGCCTGAGACCTTAAAAACTCTAGATTGCGTGGCATCTTCCCGTGGTGACACGTGTCACCCCATAATTGGGCCACGTGTCACTGTGGGATTGGTCCACGTATACGGGGTATTTTTACCCTCAACATTTTCCCCTCAGAGGGGATGGCTCGTACGCTAATAGGCCGGCTCCTTTGACCTTTGATAGCCTTGGCGCGTACAAATGTTTTAGAGGTTTGTCGACTTTCTGTCCGCCTAACATTTTTAAGGCGAACGCCTGTCTATTCGAGCGGCGCGGACGAAGCTGGGCTGTCAATTTTTGCGGCCGTCTTGCCGTTTCGGAATGAGCCTTAGTTCTGCCAGCTTTCCCTTGGACGAGTCGTTTATTAGGTCGTCCCTTCCGTCTATTTTGACGGAATTGCTCCTTGTCCTTCCAAATTCTAGGTCACTTTTTTCAAATTGTAACCGTTTAGCTAAGTTGGGCGGGAAAGTTGAATTTACCATCTTACCCCCATAAATTTTTCCTATATATACAAGGGCTTTGACTTCATTTTGGCACTTTGGAACTTTACATTTTCTAGAGAGAAGTCAGAGCTCCTAGAGAGAGAAAGTGTTTTTTTCCTTTGAATCTTCAAGAGCTCCGCCGCGCCTTTGAGTTTTCCGGTGACATTAGTTGAGGTTTCCGATCAATCTTCAAGTTTCTCCGGGTTTTCAACACGTACAGAGGTAGGCCGCCTGCACGGGCACTCACTGCTCGGCCGTGGAGGTAACTTCCTCATTTGAGGAGCGTCAAAGAACTCAAGGCGCTCCTTTAGTGGGGGGAACGTCCGGGCAAACTCGGGAGTTGAGGTTCCCCCAATATGCCAGCTCGATCATGGATGGGGCCGAGTTGCTACTCTGTGAGGGGCCTCCTTCCTCTTCTTGAGCGGACACTTATGTGTCCGTCCCCACTCCTTCAGAACTCTATCTCCGATATGGCGGGTCGAACAGACCAAGAACGGGGATTTCTCTTAACGAACCGTCCGACCTGCCCCTTCGCAGAGCCCCTCCTACTGGGGGTCAGGCGGCCGGTGCCAAAGATAAGGGCAAACGGCCACTTGAAGACACAATCTCCCTCCGGGGCGGCCATAGCTCTAGGAGCCGCAGCTCGGCGGAGGCAGCTCACCTCGATAGAGTGCTGTCCTCCGAGTTTGGGAGCGCTCCTCAACGAGAGGAGGGCGAAGCTGAAAATGCGGCCGAGGGTGGAGCGGCGGCCGCAGAGGGCGAAGAGGCGGCCGATGAAGAGGTTGCCAATATTGACAACTTCAAGGATCCGTACGCCTGCATGGTGGGTAGCACGGCCTTGGGCTACCTGAACCACAACTTTGAGGAATACAAGGCATTCCTCCTCCTCGGGGAAGGATTTGAGATCCAGCCTCCAAGGAAGTCCCGCGCCTTGGCCGCCTGGGAAGAAGAGAGGCCGCGCCAAAGATCCTTCAGCGTCTACAGGGCGGCTTTAGACGTTGGACTGCGCTTCCCCCTCCATCCTTTCGTCCGCACAATCTTGGACGAGTATGACATAGCTCTCTTCCAGCTGATGCCAAACAGCTGGTTGAACATTTTTGGATACCTGGTGACGTGCATCTGCAAGGGCTTCGTGCCAGACTTTGCAGTTTTCTGTGAGATGCACTCACTGACTAAGCTGGACGCGGATACGGACGGCTGGCTCATCTTGAGCACCACTAGGGATTACATGGTGGTGATGGACCGCGTCTCCAAGTGGCGTGACTGGAAGCACCGATTCTACCGCGTCAAAACTAAGGACGTCGAATTTAACTTGCGGATGAATCGGTTCAATGCTGAGCCAATTCAAATTGGACGCGGGGATCTCAAGTCCGATAAGCCACCCGTCCACCCCAGCCAGGAGCACCAGCTTGAATATTTCAAAGTCAAGCGGGTGAAAAGGAACGGCAAGACTGAGCGCGTTCCAAGTAATTGGGTCCCTTTATCCGGCTGGCTGCGGGATCCTACCTTCATGTCCGCCTACGGCCTATACAGAAACCTTCCCCAAGGTGGACGCACGGACACATATTCTTACACTTACACATAATATTTGATCTTGAAAAATCTTCTAACTCTTTTTCTTCTTCTTTCAGCTGAGGCGTACGAGATGCTGGACAATGAGCAAAAAGGGGAGGTCAACATGTCCGAGATTGACCTGGCTCGGTACAAGCCTCGCCAAAGACTGTACGAGCAAACTAAAGGAGTAAGTAAACCCATCTAGCTTTCTTTCTTACGTCCGTGTATGCATTACGGAAGAGATCTTCTTCCTGACTAGGCTCGGCCTATTATATTATCTTGCTTTCTTTTTCTAACTTTTGTATCTACAGCTGGCCACTCCAACCCCCAGGTCCAAGCGGAAGCAGTCGTCTCCTGCGTCTAAGACGGATCAGGACGGCAAGGCCTCCAAGCAAAGGAAGACGGTCGCATCCAAGACCACTCCCACTTCTGCGGCCAA